TCTTCCGCTGCAAGACTGTCTGTCTGGGCAATTCAGTGGCCATCCATCTTGGAAGACAAAGGGGTCTTACGCCAGGGAGCTCACTGCAGACTGCAAGTGGAATAGTGAGTGTGTTGACAGCCCTGTGCCATCAGCTCCTCTTGCTTTGGTACCCCAGACTGTCAGGTGCTGAGACCACCTGTGGTACCTAGGTTTTTCCCAGCAGGTTGACTTTGCACAGGAGCAGATGATGGGAACCCCCCAGTGTGCAGAAAGGTGGTACTTGCCATCCAAGAACAGATTTGTCCTCACTTTTAGAAGACAGTGACCCATATCTCCCAGGTCTGCCAGGCACATACACGACCTTCCAAAGGTATGAGCATATACCCTAAATCAAAGATAAATGTTGGTGTACTTTTTAAATAGCAAATTAGGAGATATTTGCTAGATGTAAGGAAAGGGGGGAGGTCTGCCATACAGCATTTACATTATACACAGGTGTTTACCTTGCTTCAGGCTCCTCATTTCTTTATCCTGGTCAGGTAAGCACTGGAAATGTCACCTTCCCACGCCTGTAATTAAACCCTGTGACTTTTGTTCTGGCATGAGCATGCATGTGTGCATATACACACTCCCAGACGCAGCTTCTTTCATCTTTAAAAACTACCCCAAAACTTCATTTTTTTGCTCTATATCAGCAATGCAGATGTGCATCATGTAGCTGGATATTGCCATGGCAACGGAGTTTGTCCTCCTGCCCCCCAACCCCCTCCCACAGACGAAGAAAGGGAAAAAAATTAAAAATAAGCAATTTTAATAATGTCACAAAAAGCAGGCAAGGATATAAAAATCCATTAAGAGCTGGAGTGGTCCTCACAATGGGAAGTGCTCCAACTCCTTCCCTTTCTGTCGCTCGCTCGCTCTCTCTTCAACCCCCTGAAAGGTAACCTTTAAAACACACTCAGCAGTGTGGTACTTAAACCTCTGGCATTTACCTTCATTTCACTCTGGCTTTTATTTCTTTCGAGGGGAGGAGGGCTTTTATGTTATAAGAGGACAAGTTGTTTTTTTCCTTTCCCCTCGGCTTGATTATTTTCCCCTCCTGTGCATGTGTTTTCTTTTTTTCCTCTTGTTTTATGGTCACCACCAACCACGTACACAGCCCCAGAGTGCCCAGACCTCAGTGCCCGTCGCAGTAGTTGGAGTAGGAAGGGGGAGCCAGCCTAGCATCCAAATCCTCCCCAGACAACCCAAACTAGCATTTTAACATCCTAAATGCAGGATAAAGGAGAGATGGGTGATGCTGGAGAGGGAATGGTGGCCTGGGATCCCCAAGGGACTGCAGAGGGTGACCAATGCCAAGAAGGCTGTGCTCCACAGGATAGATGCTCAAACTGCAGCAGCTTTTGGGGGGCTTTGCCTTTTTACAGAAGCATGCATGCATCCCTTAAAATCCTCCAGAAAAAGAAAAATCTGCAACTTCTCCTTAATATTCTTCTCCTCAGGATCTCTGCCCACAAAGTAATCCTAACAACGTACCTGCCAAATGCACATCTTCAATGTGATCTCAGAGAAACGCCACTTCTCTTGCTTCTCTAATCCATTTGTAACAAAAAGCTCAGTGCTTGGATGGGACACTGAACCACTTACACTGCTCTGCATCGCAATCAGGGCTTTGCTTCAGGCTCCCTCTTGAAGCCTCCCATTTTTTGGCCCATTATGACCTGTTAAAAGCTAGACCCAGGAAGCTGTCCAGCAGTGAATGCTTTGCAATGACTTCATTACAGCCCTGTGAATCATGGTGCTGGCTTTTATGTCCGTTACTGTAGGATATCTACATGTGCCAGTCACACCAGATCATGATTTTATCACAGGCTGCTTACTACATTTGCTCCTTCCTCACTCCTCCACAGCTGAAGACCCTTCTTCAGGAGTTGTGTGATTACCTCCGTATCTTGTATTTTCTAGGTTGGAAGAAGGTTTGAAAGCATGACCTAATTGTGCCCAGACACCTGCAGGCAAAGAAAGAGTCAAACTATAAAATAAAAGGAAACTTGCCCATTTTTCCAAAGCCATTCATTAATTTCAAGCGTGACCCAGGAACAGAGACATGAATTATTATTTCTTTCTAACCCAGCAGCACCTGTGATCCCAGGCTGTCCCTGTGCAATAGCAAGAAAGCTGAGCAGCCCCAGCTCCCAGACAGACACCCCAAAGACCTGGGGAAGGTTTCCCCACCCCACAGCTGCACATGAGGGGCAGGAGCATCCTGAGGATACCCAAAAGCTTCTTACCCTTCCCAGTCTCCCCTCTGTACCAGAGTTACGGCCTGGGAACTTCTCCTTTCTTGCAGCCCAGGCATAGGAACGTGGTGAAGGACAATGCCATCAGTAAAAAGACATGGGTGTGTATTTGATGGGTCCTGATAGAGTCCCTTTTTGTTTGGTCCCCATCTGCCTGTATCTCCTGACATAGCTGCAGTAACAGCGGCAGTGCTCACATGAGGCAGATTTTTGAGCTTATATTAGGTATAGCAGATTATTTTTACTAATACTTAAAAATTATTATTAAAATGGGCTCTGAGGAGCCCAGGTAGATGATGCTCCTGTCTCTTGCATGTCAGGCCTCCTAGGAAGTCAAGTGGGCCTAAGCAGGTAGGTCTACAGCAGCAGGAAGAGTTTGCTGGGGTACCCTGACTGGTGTCAGCCATGCAGTTAGCAAGAGAGGCTCAGACTGTGTGCATCCTAGAAAAAAACAGGACCAGGAGAACATGCAGAGCAAGGCTGGTGTCTCTACACCACCACCTCTGAATAGTTTCAGGCAATGCCTGTACCATCCAGACTTCACTAACATAGTCACACCAGTTCCTGCAGACGGACAACACTGCAAGTTCCACTGAGGATATGCTTTACCTCCCAGAGACAAATTTCTCTTTTAACTCATTCATCCACTTCTGCTCCACAGGCAACACAACAGATTTGCAAAACAGCTTTCAACTCTTTCGGGTTTTTTTTTCCTCCCAAATTTTCTGAGAGCAGGTTCTTACACTCTTTGGCCTGCAAGTCTTTTCTGAACTGGCACGGTCAGGTAACTTCAGCAGGAGTAAGCAATGGTGCCTTCCTCCTTCTGCAGTTGGCAGCCTCATGGAGCAACCCCAGAACTTACAGCTCTGTGGACCACCATAAAGCATAAAGTCTCCTGAACTCATGCTGAATAGTCTTTCTCCAGTTTTTCAGCGTAAACTGGACCTGAAGGAGCCAAACATTTGAGTCAATGAGCAGAGGCTTTTTTTTCTTTTTTTCCTTTTTTTTTTTCTAATGGGTGGAAAGGGTTGTGGAGGTTTTGGGGATTTCAGTTTTTAGGGGAGTGATGCTCCAGGCTGGTAAAGACCAAATATTCATCTCTTCATGGCTCTGAATCAAAACAAGTAATCATAAAATAATCTGTGCATTAGTCCAGTGCTCTGACTAGCTTCAGGTACCAGCTGGTTTCCAGACTGCTGTTCTCTCTGGCTCAGGCCCAAAGATGTATGGCAAATAATCAGCACTACAAATGGTCATAAAGAAAACAGGGCTTGCTAGCTAATTGCAACAGACTAGAACACCCAGAAACAAGTAAAATATAAACCAATGCAGATCAGCCATCTCACAGCTGCTATGTGGTGGACTTTTCTGCAGCTCTGCATGTTGAAGGGGGCAGACAAACCCCCTGGTAAATGAGATTTCCTTGGGACACATAATGCTGGCTCAAAGGGCTATATCTTGGACTTGAACCACATTAGATGCCTTCAAAACCCTTCAGAGCAAAGATCATGGTCCCAATCCACCCCCTAACTAAGCAGGCAAGTGCAGGAGGGACAAGCTGAAGTTTACGGGTTGAATCAGAGAGCAGTGCCACAATGCAGTTGTGAGTGGAAAAAAAGAGAGAAACCACCGGGGTTGTTCTTCTCAGCAAAAGTGCCCAGGACTGCCAGGTGACCTAGATGACAGATAAACCCCACTTGGTCATTCTTCCCAATTCCTCAACCAGGGGAACAGGATTTCAGCTGGATTTAGATGGCACAACTGCTGACCCTCTGGACAAGGAAGGAACTTGATCTAAAGAAAGGACACAAAAAGTAGAAAAGCATGAAATTACCTGAAGATTTAATCTGAGTGGGATGGGATGGGGCTCTGGTGGCACTGGAAAAAAAAAAAGATAACAAGAGAAAACTTTGACTCTTTAGTATGTACAGAGATGAAATTTGAGCCTTCTGGTCTGATCCACTGATTGCATTTCACTTCCAGAAACAGCTGTGTGGCAGTACAAAGTACAGAGGATGCAGAGAAGTGCACATTTTTCAGCCATCCAGCAGTTTTCTCATTTATCGGCAAGGCTCTCTTTAGAGTGAGCCATGACAGTCAGGCAGAAGGCTGGGATCTATAGGAATTCAATCCAGGGGAAAAGCTAGAAGTGGCTTCCTTCCGTTGCACATGGCCCAGCTGAGAATCTCTCATATGTTATGGATGTGTCATTTCAAAACACTCTGGTATGTGTCTAGCAGTGGCATCAAGATGAACTTGAGTATACAGCAGCTCCTTAGTCCTGGGCATTTGCATTTCCAGAGAGCCCACTCATCACATTCCCTAACTCCTCAGAGGACATATAATACATGGCTGCATTTTAAATCCAAGAAAAGACATGGCAGAAACATAAGAGGCTCTGAGACGGGTGAGTGATAGAAACCAACAGAGACAAGGAGAAATTGATGGGTCAGGGACTGGCAGTTTCAGAAAGCAGCTGAATAAGAGGGCCATAATAGAGCACAGACCTAACTAATGGCCTTGAGAAGGTATTTCCCCTTTCTAACAGCATGAAAACACATAGGAGTGGAAGCTTTATTTAAATTTAAAAGGCAAAAGATGCCTTCTTTTGTGGGGAGTGGTGGTGTGTGATTTACTGCTGGAATTCACTGCTGGAATTCACTGCCTTGGGATGCAGTGCCCCATGACACTGTCTTGCTCTAGCCTTAATGGCTTCATGTGTGGACCTCGTATCAGCCCTAGCACAACTGCACCTGCCTTGCGAACTGCTAGAATTGCACAGGTATTAATGCAAAGGTTAACGGGGAGGAGACACTGGGAGGATGATGGCAAGAGGAGGAGCAGACAAGGTTTTAAAATGCACACAGCCTTCTGGTGAAGCATCTCTCCAGTGTATAACCAGAGCCTCCCTCTGGGAGGTCTGGTTGGAAGAGTCTTTCTTGCCCTTGGCATTCAGGCTTAGAAGTAATGGTGAAGGGTGCATGAGCAAGATGGCTGCAAAGGAGCTCACCTAAAAATATCAAAATTGGCAAATATCTCCGAACACTGACTTCTGCCAATAAATACATTCAAATTAGCCAAAAGGAATAAGGACTGGCATAGCTACCGTTATGCAAGCTGGTATTCAGATAAGGCCTTCCCTGCTGGGACTTGCTGTTCAAACTTCAACGAGATATATATGTCAGCAAGTGTTCCCATTGGCCAGTTTTATCTACTCCCTTTGATCAATGGCTTCCCCCACTGAAACAGTGTGCTGCTGGAGATCCCCACTGGTCCCCATCCTGGGGTTCCCCATCGCCTCCCTGAGCCAGTTTTAAAGCTGTCTTTGCTGGTGTTGCAGGCGAACTTCTAATGCAGTGCTAACATCTTGTTTTCCCTCCTCCAAATCTGCAAAGGCAGATTTCAAGTGAAAACCCAGGTGTTTTACTGCAAAAGGTGTCAGGCAGGGCGACAAGGCACTGTGAGAAGTGTTCTTGCAGGTGCTACTAGTGTCATGTCAATACATTACAATTTCTTTTTATCATTGCTAATATTTAATTTCACCCACTTTTAGGAGCTGTTAGCATCCTGGAAATCCTCAGCCACATGCTGGAAACCCAGAGTCACACCAGAAATAGCCGAGAGCTGTGACAGCTGTTTGGAGGCAGAGGACCTTCCCAGAGAAGGCCGAAGTATGGCTCACCCTGTTGTCAAGAGGGAAAGGACCACAAAGCAGACAACAAAAGCATGTTGACTGCATAACACAGTCTACCTATTTGCACACTTTACTCCACAGGGGACAGATTTAAGGGCCAGAGTGCTTCTCCTTCAGAAGGAGAGGCAAAGTCTGTTACTATTGTTGTCATTATATTAGCATCAGTGACACAGGCTTTTAACCCTTCACCTGAGGAAGTAGAAGATACCTATGGTACCAACTAAGATTTAATAAACAGAAAATCATTTCTAACAGCTTAAACTACCTATTAGACACAGGCAATCTACTTCTGCCTATTCCCTGGATGCCAAAAATTAGCACAAGACAGCAGTGAAACATGAGCTCTGCATGAGCCCGTATAACTGGTGATGCTGAATCTGAAGGTACGCTTTGGCCGAGCAGAAGGGACTTGGTGTCTCTCTGGCACTGCTCAGGTCCAGAGCTTTGGAGGGATTTCTAAGGGATAGAGCCTTCAGAGAGGATCAGCTTTCTTTTTTCTTTCCATTGCATTTGTCCAGAAGGCCTAGGAGAGCACAATAGATAGACAGGATAAGGGAGCCTTCAGTTAATTCCACTTTAAACCCAATTTCATTTCCTTTCTAATTAGAACAGCAGGCATGTTTTAACAACTGATTATCTCTCCTGGGCAGTTGTGTGTATTCTTCTTGGCTACTTTTTCAATTTTCCAAGCAAAGCTCTGCTGTGATTGTAACATAAAAAAGGGAACAAGGCAGAATACAGGCAGCTTAGAGAGGTTTCCTTTTCGTTCCTAAAGGCAATAACCAGAAGATGCTCACATAGCTCAACTGGTGGGGTGATAGGGAACAGCACAGGAAAACATGCACCCTTACCAGCATTGGTAGCAGAGCAGGGGACCCAACAATTTATTATTAAGGGCTATCTGTAACAAAAAACAACCAAAACTCTTTGTGGCAGGCACTCAACTCCCATGTCCGTGCTATAACTGCCGTATCTCCTACCTGTGCATCCCACAGTGCCCAGGCAATACAGCTTCTCCCAGCAGCTCTGGGACCCCAAGCACCCACATCTGACACTAAACGCTGGAGTTAACAACAGCATCTACAAGCCTCCTTTAAAACTGATAGCAGGGCTAGGATAAGATGAAGGAATTACAGCCCTGGTGTTGCTAAAGCCTCTGCAGATGGACCTAGTTATCCCTAACAAGAACAAAAAGGCAGGGATGGGGAGCTGCCACTGTCTCTCTTCAGCACCTGGCTATTTTTCCATCCCATATACTGTCTTAGAGAGCAGCAAGTACTGCCAAGGGTTAAATGCTGTCATTCCTTGTCTCCAAATCTGGCTCCTTGAAGTAATTTCTTTGCTGTGTTTCTGGGATGTGTCATGCTTCTACTTGGCTTGTTCTTCTGACTGTGGGTGCCAGCGCTTGGTTCCTGCTGGAAAGCTGCACTCCAGGGAAGGGGTAATGGGCTGGTGCTGGAAAGTGAGCCCCGAGACTCCCACCCTGCCTTGGCATAGGGGTGCACAGTGTGTGCATCAAGGGCATAGCATGGCCAAGCCCTGTTCGCACCCCTCCAGTTTGCTTTGCACATGGAGAGCAGGGCTTGGAGGGGGCTCACAGTCCCACACCAAGTGGCAGCTCTCTGTGTCAGCCTCCTGTCTACACGCTGCTCCACTGAGCATGGTGGAGCAGCAGTGCTTCAAGCATCCCCCAAACTTGCCAGCTTCCTGGCATCTCATTACAGGATGTGTTTTCCTCCAAAGATATTTTTTCCTTTTTTTTTTTTTTTCTTTTAAGTAAACTCAGGCAATAAACTGTGGGCAAAACAGTCTGGGACTGCAGACCTGAGCATCCAGCCCCTTCCCCATTCACAAAGCTGCCCTGAGCCCTCTTCTGCCAGAAGGCTGGGAAGCTGCAAAGTCCCTTTTTCCACCCTTCTTCTGCACTGGCAGCTGATTCCCAGACACAAGACGTAGTTTGTTTTCCCTTGTCCATGACATCACCTCCGTTTCTCTTGGCAATGCCTCTCTCCTCGCCCAAGGACATGCACCGGCCACTGGCAGCACCCAGGCATATTTTTACAGGAGAAGCAGTTTTTGGCAGAAAGAAGGGTCTGTGCCCAGGGATGTGCCACTATTGCAGACACTTCATGTTGCTGGGATGACACTTAACTATTCCCATCCTCTTAATTCCTGGGTCTCAGATGAAGTTCCCAGGCTCTCATGCACCCATCCCACAATAAACACAAGGCCACTGTCCTGGGTTCAGCTGTAAAAGTTATTTTTCTCCTTAACAGCTGGTGCAGTCTGAGAGCAACACTGATAACACCGATGTTTTTAGCTGTTGCTCAGTAATGTTTACTCTGACCAAGGACTTTTCAGTCTCATGCTTTGACAGTGAGGAGAGGCACGGGAAGCCAGGAGGAAGCAGAGACAGGACACCTGACCCAAACAAGCCAAAGGGATATTCCATACCACAGCACGTCATGTCCAGTATAGAAACTGGGGGGAGTTAACTCGGAAGGCCCAGATCACTGCTTGGGTCAGGCTGGGTATTGGTCAGTGGGTGGTGAGCAATTGAGCTGTACATAACCTGTGTTTACTATTGGTTTTTTTTTCCCTTTTACTTATTACTTTTATATTCTCTACCTTTGTTATTTCCCTTATCATTATTACTAGTAGTAGTAGTTTTATATTATACTTTAGTTATTGGACTAAATAACAGTTATTATAAGACAGGTTCTTATTTCAACCCATGGAGTTTACTTTATTTTGATTCTCCTCCCCATCCCAGCTGGAGGGGAGAGGGGAGAGAGTAGGGAAGTGAATAAGCAGCTGCATTGTTCTGAGTTACCAGCTGGGCAAAACCCACAACAGCCACAAAGAGAAAAGAGTGTGAAAATGAAAAGCAGTGTAAATACTACCATTCCTAATTGATCCATCTTTTTCCTCCCCAAAGTCCTGGACTGGCGCCTAAATTTTCTGCACCCCATAAAAACTCATTAAGCAGTTTCAGTGCGACTGGAATGGTCATTTCGATGGCATTTTCCTCCCTCAAAATGGGATACGACAGCTTAGATTTAATAAGTCCGAAAGGAATACTTATAAAAGAAGATGGTGTCACAACGTGTTGTTAAAATAGCAGGTGAGCCGGCCCATTTGGAGAGCTTAATGGACCCACGTTTTAAAAATATCTGTGCTACATTTCTCCCAACAGATAATAAATCTGCAGCAGATATGGATTTTCCTGCCTGACTGCTGCACCGAGCTCCAGCTTGGGCTCTATACCCTGGGGGGATCTCACTGCCTGCACAAAACTCTCCTGCTTCCCCTGCCTGTCACCTTTGCAACTGTGTTTTTGGGGATGGTGGCAGCAGGGACAGTATCTTGTGTGTGGTTGTGCAAAGGTGGTTTTTGTGGAAGAGCAGTGAGCGCTGTCCTCCACTGTTAGATGCTCCTTCTTCCCAAGCATCTCTTCTTTACTGCGAACAGACTTCTGGGAGATTAGCCAGGGCAAAGCTGCTACCACCTAGGCCTTCTCCACTCCAGGGATCTTCCATGCTTGACGCCAAAACATTCCCCTGAACATCCTCATCCCCAGGGATGTACTAAAACCAGTATTACTGTAAACAGTTGCCTCAGACAACAGCCAAACATGGTTGGTAGGAAGGACCCCGTGCTGTGAACTGAATATATAACCTGATGTTGCTGCTACTGTGTCCTGGGGCAGCACTCAGTCCCCTGCTGATCCCACCTCTCCATCTCTGCCTTGGAAGGGGGCTGGTGGTGCCCTTGCAAGAGGACCCCATCACAAAATAGCTGCAAGTTTACACCCTCCTGCAGCACTGAAGTTGGTACAAGGGGCCAGTTTCGAACCAATGCCGCTGCTGGGAGTGGGAAATGTGAACTCTCCTCCCAGCCGGGGACATCCCGCTGACAGTACAGACCAGAGACCTGGGGGATGGGCGTATTTTGTTTTTATTTTTTACCTTGCACTATTTGCAAGAACTGAACACACAGCATGAGATCTTCCAACTGACAAGTGAAATTTCGTTAGCAGAGCTTCTATTATTCCCAATTTATTACTCCACTGGAGAGTTGTGCAGGCTTAAGGGCTGGAGAAAGGAAAACACAGGCACGCGTGCACGCACCAACAGAAGCCAGCAAACCAAACCCAAGGCTCCCGCTGAATTATGATTCACAATTTATAAACCATTACGTGCAATGGATTTCAACTATATTTATTGCAATACGACTGCTAGCAGTTCAAAAATCAATTTGGTAAATGTGGAGGGAAAGGGCAAAATTATTAATATGTTTTATATAAATGCTGTGGCTTACCCTTTCCCTGGTAAATAACTGAGAGCCCTCTGCTTGTTAAAGGTAAGGGGTTTGCCTAAGGGATGGGATTCACCCCATGGTGCCTAACACAAGGGGACAGAAAGAGAAGGGAGAGAAGCATAGGGCATAATAAAGACAGGCTGCTACAACAGATGAAGACAGAGGAGCCTAGGTGTAGGGACACGAGGACATGACTTGTTCAGTGAATTGTTGAGGTAGGGAAGGTTCACTGGGGATGAAGCAGAGTGCACCTGTGTGCAACATCCGCAGAAGTGGATGGGTTTGGGGTTAGGGATATGGCAGAAATGTTTCAAAAATCTTAACTCCAGCTAGTGGGTGAGATGCCTCACCCTAAATGGGTATGACCCCCTCCTGTTGCCCAGCATCATCTGGCCCACTGCTTCTATAGGAAGATACTCAGATGGGGAAGATCTGGCATGAAGGTGACCTGGCGTGTTAGGCAAAGCAGTGGCTCTACATCCAGCCAGATGCTCTGCACTGCAGCACACTTGGTCTGCTGTATCAAATCTGATCCACTTGAATGCCTGAGTGGCTTTACCCCCATGTCCAAGGTTGGTTCTGAGGAAGCTTGGCTTTCTTCTGACTGAGAGCTGCTGTAACACTGGGAGCCCAGGCTGATACAGCACATGCCATTAGGAAGCAGTGGGACAAGAAGTGCTCACAGAGCCACCTGCAATGGGAATGGGGAAGTGTATGCATGGGAAGGGGAGGGGAGTGTTGCGGTCGCACTTAAAGTACAGCTGCAGGGAAGCAGACTGCAAATTTACAGGAAAGGCTTTCTTGGCCTTACCAAGCAATAACATGTTGCTTCAAAGTGTAAGACTGGAGAAAATAACAACAAAAAATAGACCCGCAGTTAAGAGGTCCAATCTGATAGGCACAGGGAGACTCCTCCACATACCCAACCAAAGGCCATGCATTTCTCAGCACTACACAGGAGATGTGAAGAGGCCAAAAGCTATGAAGTGTAAGAAAAGACAAGCTCGTGGCCATGGTGAAGGTCCCTAAAAAGTGGCATTGTCAGATATCCTGAAGAAATAGGGTGTATCATCAAGGTAGGCAAATAATGCATAGACAAGGCACCCCAGACAATGGCTGGTAGCAATTCTCCTCCTTGCATGGGGCCAGAGCAGTGACCAGGAGGGACTGCTAGGTGGGAAGGGTGAAGATTCAGTTTATACACAGAGTCATCATCCCCAGCCCGCATACCTTGCGTACTGCTTTGGGAAGCACAAGCCCAATTTTGTCATGAAAGCTCTTGAAAGATGTACGTAAGGTAGTTGCTGTGTGCCTGTTGAGCACCCTGCCTGTGGGAAACCAGGGCATCTGCTTCTAAAGGTCGGATGATATCAACTTTTCCATTTTGGTGATCTGCAACCATATGGTGCACTCCAAATGAGAGGGTTCCTTCTCCAAATTAAGAAATGGAATGAAAAAAAAAAGAGATTAGATGAGAAGCAGAGCAGTGTTTTACATTTCTTTAATGATGACCTTTTCCCATCTTTTTCCTGTAACTTCAAGAAAGAAACTTACTTGTATTTTAACAGAAAAATTGGGTTTCTCATATGTTCCCATGATTCCTGATGCTGGCACTTTAAATTAATCATTGCGAAGAGACACCGCAAAAATAGGGATAGCAGGACTGAATATCCTCTGGGTAAATGTTGCAAATGCTGCCTGATGTGTTCACATTAAAAACTCATTCCT